ATGGCATCGTCTATCGGCCCAACCCTATTTTTCAAGTCTTTTATATGAATGATACAGTGATACATTGACATAGAATTAATTACAGTACAGAAGCTATAAAATATATTTTCTGCCTTATTCTGTGATAAAAATGGAAAAAAGTGTTTGTAGTATATAAACTATTATACTGATTATACAATCATAACCATAAATTTGTCATTATTAAAATATATATCAAAAATATTATAGAAGACAAATGATTGGTTATTGTTCAGCAGTGTATTTTATATCTTAGCCAATTAAAAGTAAGAGATAAGAACGTTTTTTTTTTGTCAATTAGACATACAGTACATAAATAAATATTAATAGGCCTATTATTATTATTATTATTATTACTACATTTGACATTTCTGTCCCCCTCACTTCTGAAGTGATTGCTACTCCCCATGCCCTGTAACATAACTGAATATAACACTTTAGCTATAAACCGTGTTATCTTTATCTGGGGATCAAATATGTTGTGGCTCCACGTGAATTTTATTCGGTGGGAAAGGGGACAAAATGGCTCTATTGACGTTGAAGGTTGCAGACCCCTGCTTTGAGGAAACCTAAAATGGTAGAAGAAAACTGCGCACAAAATTCTTATTAACAGGCTCATGTCTGTTACACCTCAAATATGACTCGTGAGATCCATTTTCCTGCAGAGTTTAGCTCCAACTTTGATCAAACTCACCAAACTGTGATTTTCTAATGATCCTGAAGACAATGATTAGCATGCTCAGGTGTGTTTGATTAAGGTTAGAACTAAACTCTGCAGGAAAAGTGGATCTTGTGAGCCAGATGTGAGGATCCCTGGCCTATATGAAACAACAGGTTCTGAAAAGGTCTCTTTTGGTTTGAGCCATTCCAGTTCAATTGAATGGCTAAAGAATGGCCAGTCAATGTTGTTTGTGTTAGTTGCATTACAGGGCTGCCTACACAAAACTTGCATGGGCCCAAACGATACAAAAGTTGATCTGGGCCAGAACGGGCTGGCCTAAACTGGGCCATCATGGGATTAATGTGGACAGTCCGCCAGTGTGGCCTACTCACAGAGAGCCCGCGGTGAGCCCAAAGCTGTGGGTCTCACCTGGGCAAGCTCGCACTGGGCCTGTTTAGGTTTGGTGTGGGCTGGCCCTAGCCCACTGTGCCTGCAAAAAGCCAGCATGGACATGTTTGCAGGGGCCTCTGTAGGCAAGCAAGCTGTATTTCACCAGAATATACCTATTGAAGCATAAAATATTACATTAGTATACAAATAAAACATTAAAATTATATTAGAAGGGAGTCTAACCCTTGTAAAAATTAATGTGACCGTAATTTCCAAACATTTGTGTCTGTTACAGCATGTTGCTTTTCAGCATTATATTAACATATCTTTGACCAGCAGAGGGCTCTGGAGTGCTTCGAAACGAAGATGTATCGTCTTCAATTAGTACTAAATGCGTCACTCTACATTTGTTAGAGTGAAAGGCAACTGTTTGTGTGATAGTGACACAACCGAGTGTAGTCGCTCCCAAATAATTTTCAGACTCGGTTTGCCAGCGAAAAGTTGCTAGGAAATGAAATATAACGGGCCCGGATGGAAGACAGGTTGACAGTATCAACTATGCTACAGGTAAAATGTGCAGAAGTGAAAACGTAGCAACATATACGGTAACAGAGAACCTAGCAAACATATTTCGCAGTTGGTTAAGCCGGTGATCGTCACGGTTAGTCGTTTTATACATTGAAATGGTGTTGTTAGTGACTGTTTTTCATTAAATAAGGACGCTTATTTCAATTCATTCCTTAACAAGTTTTTGATCACATATCTACAAGTTATTGGTAACGTAAATACTTAAAAGTAATTTAATAAAACATCCTTAATTGTATAATTTAATCATAAGTCGCAAACAACAACATTTTAACGCATAAAACTGTACTAGAAGTGAAAAAACGACGTTATCAATGTGTTATTACTATTTAACGTGATGACGTAATTACGTACAGTATGTCAGGATGGCCGAGCGGTCTAAGGCGCTGCGTTCAGGTCGCAGTCTCCTCTGGAGGCGTGGGTTCGAATCCCACTTCTGACAACAACCTTTTCGTTTTTTTTTTAAATCTTTTTGTTCTTCTTCAACACGACGAGAACGTGTTGTTGTTGAAAGCGACTGTTTTCCGTCTATTTCATAAAAGAGGTGACCGGAAGTTTTTCATCTTGGGTGTTTGGGTACGGTGTGACATGCTAAACTTCCATCTAAATCTATGTTAACAAGTACTGTACTCGTTATTTTACTGTTATGCCTGCAGCTTATACTATTTTTAATTGTACAAATAATACGTTCATGAATGATATACACAAAAAAAAGGAAGAAAAGTCAACTCACTCCTTTCAATCGCTAGAGGGCGGCGTAATTCATCCCGACTGCTTTACAGATCAGTTACCAGTGCGAAGTCACGAAGAAATGAAACATGGCGGACTCGGATGGGAGACAGGTTGACAGCATCAACAATGCTACAGGTAAAATATAAAGACTGAAAGACGTTTTTTTTAACGTGTGCTGTTACTGAATTAAACACGTAAGTAAGCAGTCGTTTATAGTCGTTAACGGAGAGCTCGTGTTGCCGCGGGTTACGCCGCTAATCGTCACTCTGCCATGACATATGCATAGTGGAAATTACAGCATGCTGTTTTTGTCATTTGGAACACATTGGAATCAAACTACATAGACACGGTTGCGATGCTCCCTGATGTTTGCATATGTAACTGGATTTTTTGCAAGACGAACTGAATCTCTCTGCAGCGTTCTTTAGTTTGGTAAAGATCGAGTGAGACGGCATGATGAAATAACACTGCAAAGTCAGTGTCAAGAGGATTTTTGTCATCATAGACATTATTAATTCAAACTTCTGACTTCTCAGTAAATGAGTATCTTCTATTACTAGTGTTTATGCAAATAAAGAACAGTTTTAACTTTGGATGCGTTTTAAATATATGCTTACCTGTGTCACAGATGGAGATGTAAAGTTGCACGAAATTGCACTGGCAAAGGTAGGTCAAGTCTTTATTTTATGTTTATATAATTTCACAATATCGTTTCATTAATCGTATTTCAATTTACAAAATGTGTTTCTGTTCGTTATTTACAAAATATCACAAACACAATGGCTGTGTCTCAAAACCTGGAGAGCTGCCTATCTGGACAGCATTTTGGGCATCATAGCCACATTCTCAGCAGACATGGAAGGTCTAGTTGCCCAAAATGCAGGCTAGGTTTTAAGGGACAGTCTGTTCATTTACATTGACACCGGACTATTTAAAATCATGCAAACTGTGATTCCCCTCTTTTTATCTATAGAATGAAGGGAAGGAATTGACCAAAGAAGAAAAGCAGCGTCTTAGGAAAGAGAAGAAGCAGCATAAAAAGAGTAAAAAAGATGACAAGGGTCCTCCAGAGAAGGAAAAGGAGAAAGAGAAAGCATCAGTACCAGCTCCGTCAAAACCTGCCACACAGAGCCCAGCACATAAAGGTACTTCAGCCTGCTTTGCTGCTGTTTCAAAATAATTTTCCTGCATCTAAAGTTTATTAAAACTAATTTAATTTTGATTCAAAATTTAAATATTAATTTAATATATATTCATAATATAATTTCACAGTTATTTGACCCTCTAACTCTAACACTTTCTATTCTATTTTAATTCTACTTTATCAATATTTATCTTTTTTTTAATTTTTTTTATTCTTTATTTAAAAAAACAACAACAACAAAACAAAAACTAGCTTTCTATTTTTTTCTATTCTATCTACTTGTTTTTCTTTGTTTGTGTGTGTGTGTATTATATATATATATATATATATACACCTTGCTACGTGTACTGCGTTAGGCTAACCGAGACTTGTCATTTGCACTTATATATTGTTGCTCTTTTGTTAGTTTTGACTGCTTTTATTGTCCTCATTTGTAAGTCGCTTTGGATAAAAGCGTCTGCTAAATGACTAAATGTAAATGTAAATGTAAATAGGGATAACTGGGCAAAAAATATTTATTTTTGAGGCTGTAATTTATTTTCTGATTTAGACTGGATTAATATTATTAATAGTTTCAGAATTGTCTATTGTTTTTCTTAGGATAGATTAGAAAGATGTTAACAACAACAAATGTATTTTTTTTACTACTGTATATAATAATCTGTATGATTACTGTTTAATAAGCTTTTAGTGTGTGTTTACACTTGTAGTTTTATTCTCTTTATTCTCTATTTAGTTCTGGTTCGCTTAGAACTCACTGAACTTAAAAATACAAAAACAAAAGACATAACGATACGGTCGCAACCTGATTGGACAGCTTTTATGAGGTATATTTTGAGAGCTTACCAAACATCCAAATCAATCCAGTTTGCTGGGCTAAATGCGTGTATTGTACATGTGTACATATGGTTGTGTTTTTACCAGCTGACAGCTTACAAAGTGCTTTTGAAATGTGAAATTGGGTCAAAACAGCAGCTGGAATTCCTCCGTACACACAAATGAAGCTCTGACCCCCTATGACGAGGTATCAATTGTTTGTTGAACCACACCAGAGTTTGTTTGGAAGTTTGTTTGGTGTGCATCAAAGTTCAAATGGCAGTGTCCACGCTTACTCAAATAAATCACACTAACAGAGCAGAGTTAATTTAAATCTAATCAAACCTGCCAAGTGTAAACACAAGCCTAAGTCTAATGTCTGTTTTTTGAGTGCTTTTTAATTGTTTGACCCTTTTATCTCATTAGCGGCTCCTGCACCTGTAAATGCATCTGCTTCTGAATCTCCTGCGGCTGCAGAGAAGCCTGCCAAGAGCAAAGCGGAACTGCGAGCAGAGCGTCGGGCACGGCAAGACTCAGATCGAGCATCAAAACAGGGCAAGAAAGAAGGGGGGCAGCAATCTGCCTCCAGCAAGCCTAAAGCTACCCCTAATGAGCTTCAGCCAGGTAATTCACTGCTTCTAAAAAGTTATTCCAGGGTGGGAAGTTTGGGCATTTACAGAGTGACCCAAATATAATCAGCCATTCCAGTATTTATTTATTTTTTTTGCAGCCATTTTTATTTTTTTCCCTCCATTTCAAATATAACAAAAAAATAATAGGGAAGCACCGAATGTTCAGCAACCAAAATTATTTGGCCGAAAATAGCAAAAACAAAGCTCTATCCAAGTTCAGTCCAAATAAGCAAAAAGACTGAATAAATTGTACAATGACAAACAATGACGTGACATGATCAAATAGAGGTGCGCACTAACGCAGCAAACATGACGGCAGTGTGGCAGCATTTAAAACTGTCCGTTTCAAATATAAAAAAAAAATAATAGGGAAGCACCGAATGTTCAGCAACCAAAACGCAGCAAACATGACGGCAGTGTGGCAGCATTTAAAACTGTCCGAGAAAGACGCAAAAATCATTACAAGCACCGACAGCAAGAGACTGTTTAGTACTGCATGGCATGTGTCCGATGAGAAGAGCAAGGGGTGTTTGTTGCTGGTTACTGTATGATGATTGAAATCGCGAAATGGCCTTAAACAATTAGTTAATAAACTGCCGAATGTTATGTTTTCTAATACACGCACGAATTTCATGTATTCTGACAGCGCTGCACAAGCTTGTGGTGCTATCTGCTTGTTAGCCCCAGTTCAAAGTCCACAGAGCGTGGAAAATCTGTGCTGAAACAGTGTTACTCGTCAGTTGCTCAGTAACATTTTTATGAATTTTTTAAAGGCATGTGACAATGCAATACATACGACAGACATCTTCCCAAATTCGTAATGAGAATCATTTATAAATCTGCTGTTGTCAACAAAAAGAAGAACTGAGGTCTTCCTGCGGGTTTCCGCCAAAATAAAACCTGAGAAAAAAAAGAACTCCTTTAACATTCATAAATGTTAGTATTGTAATTTTACTGTTGTAAAATAAAAAATATAACAATGATAATAATAATTACAACAGCTCTATTAATACATTTATTATAACATTTACACATAGGGCCAGTTTTACTAAACAGGGCAAATTAGTGCGAGAGCGTAATTCCAAATCAGCGCCGATGGGCATGTAAATTTCTGCAGGTGATTTACTAACAACATACAAATTAAAGAACACAGACGCAACATCTCATTTACATATCGACCAACGCAATACATCAAGCGCAGCGCAAAGTAGCATAGTTGCAAATAAAGAATAAAGAAATAAAGATGCCTCAGTATGTTTAAAAGAACCAGAGGCCAACCATCTTTTATAATTAAAAACAACATGGCTTGGCAAACGATATGTTTGGATAATGTGTTCTTCTGGCATTCCAAATAAATTAATATGTGTGGAAAAAATCCTCTCCCTTCTACCACGCGCTCTCTGTTCTCTGCGGTGCCTCCTCCAGCAACAATAATTGCAGCCATTTCAAGCGCAAAAAAGTTTAAGACATGCTTCTTTTGGGTGTTAAATAATGGCGCAAATGCCAGTAATTTGACGAGCACAAACGTTAGTAAATCACATTGCGTGATTCATTTGAATACTCTCCTCCCATAAATTTTGCGTCTGAAAGGGAAACTCCTACAAATGCATATTAAATAAGTTCAGGCGCAAAAATAACTGTCCACTCCTTTTCAGCGCTAATTCTTCACTGCACGTAAAACTGGCCCATAGTGTTCAAATTGGGATCTGTAATATATTCTAATGTTTTAAAATAATTATTTTCTGCTCAGCAAGACTGCATTTATTTATACAGTAAAAAAATACATGCCTGATTCAAGAAGGGGGCCTCAAAAATGGACAAAAATATTACTTTACTAACTTATTAATTTTAAGTTAAATTGTTGTTCTGTAATTTATTTTTTATTTCTTTGAAAAGCAAGACAAAACAATAAAAAGCACATTTTGGCTATTTAATTTATGCAATGGTGAAAAAAAATTTGGCAAAATACATGGGGAACAAAAAAACTCGAAAAACCGTGTTCAGTATTCGGCCTTCGGCCCAGTGTTTAATTTTGTTCGGTTTCGGCTTCACAGCAAGACTGCATTTATTTATACAGTAAAAAAATACATGCCTGATTCAAGAAGGGGGCCTCAAAAATGGACAAAAATATTACTTTACTAACTTATTAATTTTAAGTTAAATTGTTGTTCTGTAATTTATTTTTTATTTCTTTGAAAAGCAAGACAAAACAATAAAAAGCACATTTTGGCTATTTAATTTATGCAATGGTGAAAAAAAATTGGCAAAATACATTGGGAAAAAACATGAAAAACCATTTTAGGTATTCGGCCTTCGGCCCAGTGTTTCATTTTGTTAATTTTCATTTCGTTGCATCCCTAAAAAAAACATTCTTTAGTTTGAGGTCGATACGATTAAATGTTTTTGAAAGAAGTTTCTTAAATGCTCACCCTTTTGTTTGATTTAAAAAAAAAAGGTAATATTAATATTGTGAAATATTATTGTAAATCGAAATAACTGTTTTCTCTTTGAATATATTTTAAAATGTTATTTATTGCTGTGATATCAAAGCTGAATTTTCAGCAGCCATTACTCCAGTCTTCAGTGTCACATTAAAAACAAATGTGTATATATATTTAAAAATACATGTATTTATTTTGAATTTAAAAATGCACACATATAAACACACATTTGCCAACACACATATTTACAGATGTTTTATGATTTGGATAAGCAAAATTACCCAGCCTTATTTTTATTTCCTTTCTCTTTTTTGTCTGTTAGTAGTGAAAAGGTTACCAGAGCACGTTCAGGTGGACGACCCTGCTGCATTGAAGAAGTTGGCCAAAAAGCTTGAGAGGCAGCAGGTGAGACAAATCCACAGTCATGATTTGCCTGTTGTCTGATTATCGCCCATTGACAGATGATGGATTCATCCAGGTGTTTTCTGAGATCCATTTTGCAGTGTTTTTTAACCCAGGTCCTTCCCATGTCTTCCAGAAGTCAGGGCAGGGATGCGGTTTAAATATAACTGGAGTTAAGGTCTGGCTCCACACTTTTGTGTGCAGTGTATTGTTGAATTCTTTCTCTGTGTAATGTGTTTTTATTCTTGGTGAAAGTTATTGACACTTCTTGGTTTTAATGTCGGCTGGAGGTGATTTCATTGTGATTATTATCATTACATTGTGTTCATGTGATGAGCTAGATGTCCTATGTGGGTGTGATTTTAGTTTACTTTTTTATGTTATTAGGTGTAGCTCTATAACACTAGTATAAAGCTTTCAAAGTCTACTGTGGAGCCGTTCTTCATTTGTGCACATTTGTGTCGTGTATGTCTTCATGCACAGTGTTCTGTTGCAGCCTCAGCTCTTGACATGAGGAGGGAGGATGTGACCTCCAGAGCGTTTGACCTAGAGCGAACAAAATACTCACATCCAATGCTGTTGTTCTTTCTGCTCTATTAGGTTCCTTTGAGGTCAGATTATGGATACAAGGTCAGCCTGTTCTCACATCTCCACCAATACAGCCGGAAAAACCCTCCCACCCAGCAAATCAGGTATTGTAAACAATGTATCTTCTACATTAGTTATAATTTTGTCTTGACGGGGTTATATAAGTGGAAATCTGTTTGTAAATCTGGTAAGATTTTTTTTGTCTCTTATGCCCATCCAGGCTGCATTTATTTGATCATAAATACAGTAAAGACAGTAATATTGTGAAATATTATTACAATTTAAAATAACTGCTTTTGAATATATTTTCCAAATGTAATTCCCGTGATATCAAAGCTGAATTTTCAGCAGTCATATCTCCAATCTTCGCTGTCACATAATCCTTCATAAATCATTATGATATGCTGGTTTAGTGCTGAACAAACACTTATTAACATCTATACTGAAAACAGTTGTGCTGATTTTTATGGAAATCATTACACATTTTTTCAGGATTCTTTGATGAAGAGAACATTCGAAAGAATTGCATTTATTTGAAATAGAAATCTTTTGTAGCAATATAAAAGTCTTTATGGTGACTTTTGATCAGTTTAATGCATCAGTTTCTTAAAAAAAATATTACTGTGCCCACACTTTTGAACAGTCGTGTAACTTGAAACATACTGTAACTTAAAGAATTAAAACTTCCTCCTCAGGAAGCCTTTTATTTTTAAAATGATTGAATCTAAGATATTCTAATATTAGGCCATGTAATTATAGGTCTCAGATAAATGATCATGAAAAATTAAAATAGGCATAATCTTTACCAACATTATAAGTAGACCTCAGTGGAAAAAATAAATACACATTTTTACAGTTACATTTTTTATTTTTTCGGGAGAGACATATTAGTAATTAAGCTTAAATAACCTAGATGACTCAGTTGGTTGACTTATTATTTGATATGGTTTATTTTGTAGCATCCCTGCCACAGTTATTCACCCATCCATTGTTCGCTTGGGCCTGCAGTACTCTCAGGGCATTATAGCAGGATCCAATGCTCGATCTGTGGCCCTACTACATGCCTTCAAACAGGTAATACATAATAAAACCTATAAAATAGCTGAACAGTTCTTAATTTTGGATTGAAATAGTGTTTCAATTATTTTTTATAGGTTATTCAAGACTATAACACACCTCCAAATGAGGAGTTGTCAAGGGACCTTGTGAACAAGCTGTCGCCCTATATCAGGTTCACCTTCTTCCTTGTGAAAATTGATATAGCATGAGCTCAGATGTAGATGTGTTTTATTTGATCTCCGATCTTATGGAAACAGATGTTTAACAAACACTGCAAATTCTCATTACGCCTGCAGTTTTCTCAGCCAGTGTCGACCCCTTTCGGCCAGCATGGGCAATGCCATCAAATACATCAAGAAGGAAATCTCAAATATACCAAGTCAATGCAAAGAAGAAGAGGTAAAAATATTTAAGAGTCACTAGTTTAGTAGTCTCAGCCTCAGACGTCACGCCCACGGACCGTTGGCTAAACGTCTGATGCATATGGCACACAAAAGTGGAAAAACTTCAGGAGTTTCGAAGTCGTCATTGGATTGGTTGAATTATACAGGATTTCCGGGAGACGTGTGTGTCGTGTTCTTTAACGTTCCGCCTGGAAACAAAGCTGCCATGCCGCCAAACCCCCTCACGAAATAAGAAAGACATCGTGTTTACAACCGTGACGACGAGCGCCTATCAGGATCAACTAAACGCTGGATTCTCAAAAGTATGTGAAAAATGTAAAGTTCGCATCATAGAATCTTTAAAACACGTCCCGAGAGTTTTACACACCGGTCTGTTATTGTGGTGACATTTCCACGCCCCGAAACGTGACGATGAACGAAACGAACTGTGATTGGTTGTTTGACATGTTGGTCAAACGGCCTCATGGGCGGGCCTTGGCCAATGTAAGCTGCCATGGCTACGCGAGACTACTAGTTTAGAGACATTAATATACAGTAACAGTATTCTTCCTGTGAATTTCTAAAAGCAATGTTTTCTCAACAGGCCAAAGGGGAACTGCAGGCATGTATTGATAGTTACATAAATGAGAAGATCATTTTGGCTTCTGAAGCCATTTCTAAGTATGCTATTGAGAAGATAAGTAATGGAGATGTCATTCTTGTTTATGGCTGGTAAGATTTTTCAGTTAATTGATGTAATTCTGTAATAGTCTGGATTCGTTCAGAAGTGTTTCAGAAGTGCCTTTATTGTGTTTTTCCAGCTCTTCACTTGTCAACCACATTCTGTGCGAAGCTTTTGAAAAGCAGAGGAAGTTCAGAGTCATAGTTGTGGACAGTCGGCCCAGACTGGAGGGCAGAGAGACGCTGAGGCGTCTGGTGAAGAAAGGCATCCGATGTACTTACGTGCTCGTATCTGCCTTGTCCTACGTTCTGCCTGAAGTGAGTCATTCTTTTCAGTAAAGCTTTTTGCCAGCACTTTTTATTTTTAGCTCATTTTGAGGTAAGGTGATTTCATACCAAAGTGCATGTACCTTCAAAGGATTGATTATGTGAGTGACATTAGCAGTAGCTAAAAATACAACTTAATTATGGTTTGGTACTTTCGTTCTTAACAATACACAGTAGCAACTGAAGTGGTGCTAATAGAACAAAGATAACTGCTTGGTTTTATCAGTCTCTACCAAATTGAACCACTTTCTTTAAGAACACTAAGAGTTTATGCACTTTATATACGTACACATTTATTACGGACATTCTTAGATGGCAGTTACAGTGTTATTTCAAATGATTATATGGCACAGCAAGGTTCTGAATGTTTAGATTGTTGTGTTAAATTATAGTATGCACTACTGTTCAAAAGGTTGGGGTCACTAAGATTTTTTTTTATGTTTTTGAAAAAGCCTCTTATCGAACATACAGTAAAACAGCAATAATGTGGAGTAACATTACAATTTAAAATGTCTGTTCTATTTTAATATATTTGAAAATGTAATTTATTCCTGTGATGGCAAAGCTGAAATTTCAGAAGTCATTACTCCCAATTTTCAGTGTCACATGATCCTTCATTTTTGTGTTTCAGGATGAATAGTTCAAAAGAACAGTATTTTTCAAATAGAAATCTATGATAAATGTCTTTACTGTCACTTTTGATCAATATAATGCTGAATAAAAGTATTAAAGGGGTCATATGATGCGATTTCAGTTTTTCCTTTCTCTTTAGAGTGTTACAAGCTCTTGGTGCATAAAGAAGATCTGTAAAGTTGCAAAGACTAAAGTCTCAAATCCAAAGAGATATTCTTTATAAAAGTTCAGAGTCAGCCACGCCTACCTAAAACGGCTCGTTCTAACACGCCCCCACATATCTACCTCACTATGTGGGAAGATTTGCATAACTCCGCCCAAATGTTCACGCAAAGAAAGAAGGCATAACTTTTAGTCTCACTGTAGTTTTGTTGACGCTGCAGCAATGTCGTGAAGACGCTGTGTGCTTCGTTGTGAAAGCGAAACTACTTTGTTTGGTCTTCCAAAAGAGGACGATATCCAGCCCGGGGTCCGTCACATGTGGTTGCCGCTCGGATCCGCCGGGCGCGCCGTTCTCGACCCCGCCGCCTCAGCTCACTCTAGCCCGGCCTCCGGCCTCCACAAAATAATGTTCTTTTTAGCAGCATCATGACCCCTTTAATTTCCTTCCAGAAAAAAAAACATTTGAGCGGTAGTGTGATTGCACTAAAGTTAACTGGCCTTTATGTTGCCATTAAAAACATTATCTGAATGCTGAATCAGAACCTGGACTCTGCACTCTTATTTCCAGGTATCCAAGGTATTTCTTGGTGCCCATGCACTCCTTGCTAATGGATATGTGATGTCACGTGTGGGAACTTCCCAAATTGCCCTGGTAGCAAAAGCCTACAATGTACCAGTGCTGGTCTGCTGTGAGACCTACAAGTTCTGTGAACGAGTACAGACGGACTCTTTTGTATCCAATGAATTAGGTAACTCTGTGATGTTTAGCTTGTTTGGTGAATTTACTATTATTTTATAAGTGACATATATAGGTATTTACACACACAAAAATAAACATTAATATATATATATATATTTTTTTTACAGATGACCCTGATGACCTGATTGTTACCAGAAATGGAAAGACCCACCTAGAGAACTGGCAGACTGTTAAATCACTGGGGCTTCTGAACTTGGTGTATGACGTGACGCCACCGGACTTTGTGGACCTTGTAATCACTGACTTGGGCATGATCCCCTGCACCTCTGTGCCTGTGGTACTGCGAGTCAAGAACGTAGATCAGTGAAGAGCAGACGAACACGGTTCTGCTTCCCTCTTGCATCTGCACATAAGAATCTGTGCACACGGGCTTCTGGCACCCAATAAACATATCTATGAAATGGAACAAGCTTTTCAAATAAAGCCACAGTTTATGTCCTCACTAGTGGGATCTATTTAATTTCAAATTGTATAACTGGTCCAATTCCAGTTTCTAAAAAAGTCCACCTAATGAGATTTTCTTTGGAAAATTCTCAAATTAATACTTAGAATTGTTGTACACAAGATCAAGAATGTCAGATAGCTTTGTTATTGTGTCAGATCCACGAAATTCAAGAAAGTGTCTGTAAACCCTGTGTTTTCAATTTTGGCCCATCATGGTGAGTGTATAGATATAAACATCTATCATCCTTTTTTGGATAGTTTCTGTTGCCGAAGCCCTTTCATAGATGTGAAAAGGGAAAAAGAACATGGTGCAAATGTGTGTAAGATCATGCAAAAGCTGAATGTGTTGCATAAGAGGTTTTGTTTGTATTCCCAAAACCTTGGAAACGCTACAGAAAAATAAATGGTTTAGATAAAAATTACAAACAAAAAAAACTACTGTTGGCTGATTCTTTGTGATATTGTGACAAATCTTTATTTTAGGTACCAGGCTGCCAAGGTACATGCTGAATTCCCTACCACAATACTACATTATTGACAAAAACCCACATAATGTCATTTACGTATGTCAGTACTCTACTAATAGTGTGTCTGTCTATACATCTCAGATGGAACAGATTCCCTTTTACACTCTTACGCTGCCAAAAAGAGAAAAGCATAGTTACAGAGGTTGAAGGATCATCAGTTAGGATATAACATGTGACATCTGTAAACAGCAGGATGTGGCAGTAACGATCTACATTTTTCACAAATAACAACAGTCCTACAACATCCATGTCCCCATCTCCTGTAAAATTAATTATTTTTCTATGTCAAAAACACAAATTTTTAAGTAAACGCTTAAGTAAACATCTTTAAAAATGAAGATAATTTTTGTCTTAAAGCAGCACAAAATATTTGTCCTTAATAATCATTGTTATAATACATGAGTGCTTCACTTTGACGTGTTTAGGAGTCTAAAGATCAGTCAGAAATGTGGCTGCCCTCCAAACACAATCGGCGAGGTCCGTCTACGGTCAGTTTTCCCTTTACAGACCAGCCTTAGCAAGTCTGTGAAAATGTGACAGTATTCATGAAAGCTTTCAAAAAATGTATAAATAGAAAGTAAAACATTCAACACAAACTATGTGCAAACTTTTAACGTTTAAAAAAATAATAATGTCATGCAAACCTGCTTTTGGCAAGTATAAAAAACAAGCAGATGGTTCATACCATCCAGTGTATTAAACTCTTTGGTGTCTCCTGCACCATTTTCAGTAAGCTTGAAGCATTTTGTGGCTCCACTGTCAGCCCAACAGTCAGTTTTCTTTAAAACTCAAGTGTTCTTGACCTTTCGTCTTTGTGTGAACCAGAGTAAAGATGAAACCACAACTGTAGATCCGGTTAGTATCCCAAGCACCTTAACTATAGGAAACTCGCCCTGCAATTGTTAAAGGATAATGAACGTGTGCGATAAAGGAGTAATGGCCAACCTGTTTGGGATGATTTGACGGAGGTCTCACCTGTCTCATGCACTTGTATCCATGGAAATTATGCAGACAGCTACACTCAAAGAACCCTGGTCCATATGGGCTGCAGAATGAGTTTTCAGGGCAATCCCAGGCTGAAGAGACAAACCATAATCAAGAAATGCATTGAAATACATTCTTTTTTTTTTTCCATTTTGAAGACTTGAGATCCCAGTTTATTCATTACTTACGCATCTGCACAGTCTGATTGCAAATATTTTTCTGTCCTTCGCAGATTTTGGCATTGTTTTTCACTTCAACCTTCTCCCATGATGCATTGCCCCCTGGACACTCCAGTTTTGAGGGTAGTAAACTAAGTAAAGATTTGTCAAGTTAACTCAATGTGTTTAAGCTATTTTCAGTCTTTTAGATCTTTTAAATGCCATGGACCCATGGATGAATATCATCACAATACCCCATTTATACTGTGAAATAAATCATATAAATATACATAAAACATAATTTGAAAAATATTTAGTTTTTATTAGTTACAGTATTACATTCTTTCCACTGCACATACTGTCAGATGTATTATTTATGTAAATATTTGTATTTATTTTAATGTATGTATTTAGTCTTTTTATTATTTATTTTAAATTATTTTATTAATTTTGATTATATATATATATCTTACACTGTTTTTCTCTAAACTTTGTCATGGACGCCCTGATCTCCAGATCCCAGCTGAAAACCCCTGACTTAAATGTTATAAACATGATATAAAGTGCTCATGCATAACTTACAGTTGGGTAAGATGGCTGAAACCCTGAAATATGAAATCGCTCAGATTGGAGATGGGGTTGTTGGAGAGGTCTCTGTGAAAACATAGAATGACAACAGATATTCAATTTAGTTCTAAAAATTACAGATTATCATGATAAAAAACCTGCTCTGGTACATACATTATGAATGTAGTGGATGAATTATACAGGTGCTCTACATGACTAATAGAGCAGTTTGCCAAGTCCAACCTAAAACAGTACAGAACAGTTAGAGTTAAACATAGAAAATAAATGTCATAATTAAAAAACTTTGGAATACTAGAAAGTTTTCCTACCCTATAATTGTGTCTACATTGCTGGTATTATTTCCAAAACAGCAGCGTCCCCTAATATGGCCTTTTGTTAGGCAGAAATCCCAGACAGGACTGTCTTGTCGTACAGTCCCTTCACACATTTGACACAACTAGCGAAAACAAAGGTGAAAGGCGAGCTTTAAAAAACGTAAAACAACATTCAATGTTTTACTTTACGACAGTGATGACAAATGGCAACACTGTGACTTATCTACTGTAGCATGTAAGTATTATTTCATTACAGTCATTTTGCAAATCTCACCTGTGCGTCAGTATCCTGGCTGTTGACATATACATTGAATAAAACAATAAAAACAGTACATAAATATATAGTAGATGCTGTAACGCTAGCTGCCATTTTCGCCAAAACAAAGTCATGTGACTCGATGATCATGTGACGTTCAATTCGTGTCAACAAGGCGGCGCAAATATTTTGCATTTCTCACTGTGAAATTTCGATAGAGACGAAACACTGACAAAACACAGATTGCTTTTACACAATTCAAGTTATTGAACTGATATAGATCATTGTCGCCATACCATCGCCATTTATATTCAGTCTGGAAATTTCAAATAAGGCACATCCACGAATACGGATTACTTTTTTTTTACATTATAACCATATATCACCTGTTGTTTTATTAATTTACTTAATTAATGTTTAATTAATATGTCAAAAATTAAAATTAATTATCAAACATACAATTAACCTCGCATAACAACAAGTAGTTTGGCTACAAAAATGTATTTATCTCCCCTTAAATGTGGATTTTGGACTGCCCCAGCTCAGAAGTGACACTCAAAAATAAAATAAAATAAACACATAAATAAAGTAAAAAAGTAACAAAAATAAAATAAAATAAGGAAATTAACTTAAATAATTAAATTGAAAAAAAATATTCTCATTCCATGTGCCAATTTTAGACAAATTAGTTTTGAGTGCATTTGTCAAGATAAACAATTCAGCTGTTACCAAAGTTACTGTAATAAATAAATAAATAAATATCTTTCAGATATGGGACTTTTAAGTTGAACCCTATTGCCCATTTTGGTGCTTTTTGATTAATAATTTTGATAACTTTTGTCTAATAATTTTTTGTGTCATGTTTATTGCTATGAAGTTGCAAAAACGTATTAGACATAACAGGGCATCAAAAAATTAATAGAAAATATCTTTTTTAAAAGTTTTACCTCCTTAAGTAAACTTTTGCTAAAAGTTAAGCACCTCCTTTCATTTTGCTGAGAGAAAAAAAAGACAGGGGGCGTTAAATACCTCAAATCACAAAGATGGTTTAACCTGCTCTTTTGAGAAACGATTTAGCTAATATTTAAATACTCTTTGATGCAGCTTAACCGCATTGCTTGTATCACACAGCCATTTTTAAGCCCGTTTAAATCTTAAACTTCAGTTTAAACATTTACATAAAAATAAGTTTATGTCGTTATGGAGAGATTGTTTACTACAAACTACGCTTGCGACTTGTTCATGCCAAAGGATCTCGAATGAACATTTTTACGCATACCCCCCCCGCCGCTCTGGAGGAATGGTTTGATCCAGACTGCTGCAACGCTTCGGGAGTGCGCAGATACATATTGAATACATTACAGCAGAGAGGCTTCATCTATAGTGCTGGAAGGTTTCGCTACAATGCAGACGGATGTGTGTTCTTCTTAACGCCTTAACAAGTTGGAGCACAGTATCGGTATCTCGAAATGCATGCTGCGACAAACAGTTTCTTCATTTGTTTCCTCTCCATACTCGTTCGTATGTACCAATGTAGGTAGGACCGGGGGCTGTAGACAGCCGCGGAGCACCTTTACGTGGAGTAATCTGAAAGTTAATTGGATCGTGGGCCTTGCGACGACACTTTGTGTTTTGCAGACTCGACTCCCACATTCTTTTACAGTGCGCGAGGAAGCGAGAGGACCGATTTAGCGATACACTGCCGACAATGAACGTGGAATTACCTCCAGTTGCAACATGGCTGCTGCTTAGATGTTTATTGGAAAAGTTCAGCCCTGAACATTAAGAAAGTTTTTAAAATAATCCACGTCGCAAGAAAAGAACTTTCCTGGCGTAATTCAGCTCTGGATTGGACTGGACTGGACTGGACAGGACTACACAGGGAATCGGAGCGAGTGTAGCTCGCCGTCATTCAGTTTGGTCCCAGCAGACCAACACCGAGGGCTTTCCGTGAACACTCTCGCTTTTAACAGCATCTTCATCTCGGTCAAAGACTTGTGATCTTACAGTAGAAAATGCATTTCTCCATCCCCGAGACGGAGGTTCGCTCCGATGAAAATGGATCGACTTATGTGGTAAGTGTGGTGGAGGTCAAATAAGCGATGCGCCTAGCTTTTACATTCGGAGACGCTGCCTGTAGAATAGCGGTGCTTTGCATCGCTGTTGTGAATGAATCTTTCGCTGATTGACGGAATTTGAGGGAACATGTCCGTTCATCCAGATCGTCATATGAGTCACAGTCTCGTTCACAACAAGAAGAGAAAGATGCGGAAGAATTCTGAATATATTAAAATGACAGATGGACGTCATTTCTTAGTTCATTTGGGCTATTGGCTGTCTTTTAAAATCCTTCACAGTTGACAAAATGGAGGTAAATTATAGATGTACTTCGTTTCCATTTGAGGGTCAAATGCTTATAATACTTAAAAACATAAAGAACAATGAACGTGTGCAATAAAGGAGTAATGGCCAACCTGTTTGGGATGATTTGACGGAGGTCTCACCTGTCTCATGCACTTGTATCCATGGAAATTATGCAGACAGCTACACTCAAAGAACCCTGGTCCATATGGGCTGCAGAATGAGTTTTCAGGGCAATCCCAGGCTGAAGAGACAAACCATAATCAAGAAATGCATTGAAATACATTCTTTTTTTTTTTCCATTTTGAAGACTTGAGATCCCAGTTTATTCATTACTTACGCATCTGCACAGTCTGATTGCAAATATTTTTCTGTCCTTCGCAGATTTTGGCATTGTTTTTCACTTCAACCTTCTCCCATGATGCATTGCCCCCTGGACACTCCAGTTTTGAGGGTAGTAAACTAAGTAAAGATTTGTCAAGTTAACTCAATGTGTTTAAGCTATTTTCAGTCTTTTAGATCTTTTAAATGCCATGGACCCATGGATGAATATCATCACAATACCCCATTTATACTGTGAAATAAATCATATAAATATACATAAAACATAATTTGAAAAATATTTAGTTTTTATTAGTTACAGTATTACATTCTTTCCACTGCACATACTGTCAGATGTATTATTTATGTAAATATTTGTATTTATTTTAATGTATGTATTTAGTCTTTTTATTATTTATTTTAAATTATTTTATTAATTTTGATTATATATATATATCTTACACTGTTTTTCTCTAAACTTTGTCATGGACGCCCTGATCTCCAGATCCCAGCTGAAAACCCCTGACTTAAATGTTATAAACATGATATAAAGTGCTCATGCATAACTTACAGTTGGGTAAGATGGCTGAAACCCTGAAATATGAAATCGCTCAGATTGGAGATGGGGTTGTTGGAGAGGTCTCTGTGAAAACATAGAATGACAACAGATATTCAATTTAGTTCTAAAAATTACAGATTATCATGATAAAAAACCTGCTCTGGTACATACATTATGAATGTAGTGGATGAATTATACAGGTGCTCTACATGACTAATAGAGCAGTTTGCCAAGTCCAACCTAAAACAGTACAGAACAGTTAGAGTTAAACATAGAAAATAAATGTCATAATTAAAAAACTTTGGAATACTAGAAAGTTTTCCTACCCTATAATTGTGTCTACATTGCTGGTATTATTTCCAAAACAGCAGCGTCCCCTAATATGGCCTTTTGTTAGGCAGAAATCCCAGACAGGACTGTCTTGTCGTACAGTCCCTTCACACATTTGACACAACTAGCGAAAACAAAGGTGAAAGGCGAGCTTTAAAAAACGTAAAACAACATTCAATGTTTTACTTTACGACAGTGATGACAAATGGCAACACTGTGACTTATCTACTGTAGCATGTAAGTATTATTTCATTACAGTCATTTTGCAAATCTCACCTGTGCGTCAGTATCCTGGCTGTTGACATATACATTGAATAAAACAATAAAAACAGTACATAAATATATAGTAGATGCTGTAACGCTAGCTGCCATTTTCGCCAAAACAAAGTCATGTGACTCGATGATCATGTGACGTTCAATTCGTGTCAACAAGGCGGCGCAAATATTTTGCATTTCTCACTGTGAAATTTCGATAGAGACGAAACACTGACAAAACACAGATTGCTTTTACACAATTCAAGTTATTGAACTGATATAGATCATTGTCGCCATACCATCGCCATTTATATTCAGTCTGGAAATTTCAAATAAGGCACATCCACGAATACGGATGACTTTTTTTTTTTACATTATAACCATATATCACCTGTTGTTTTATTAATTTACTTAATTAATGTTTAATTAATATGTCAAAAATTAAAATTAATTATCAAACATACAATTAACCTCGCATAACAACAAGTAGTTTGGCTACAAAAATGTATTTATCTCCCCTTAAATGTGGATTTTGGACTGCCCCAGCTCAGAAGTGACACTCAAAAATAAAATAAAATAAACACATAAATAAAGTAAAAAAAATTAAATAAAATAAGGAAATTAACTTAAATAATTACATTGAAAAAAAATATTCTCATTCCATGTGCCAATTTTAGACAAATTAGTTTTGAGTGCATTTGTCAAGATAAACAATTCAGCTGTTACCAAAGTTACTGTAATAAATAAATAAATAAATATCTTTCAGATATGGGACTTTTAAGTTGAACCCTATTGCCCATTTTGGTGCTTTTTGATTAATAATTTTGATAACTTTTGTCTAATAATTTTTTGTGTCATGTTTATTGCTATGAAGTTGCAAAAACGTATTAGACATAACAGGGCATCAAAAAATTAATAGAAAATATCTTTTTTAAAAGTTTTACCTCCTTAAGTAAACTTTTGCTAAAAGTTAAGCACCTCCTTTCATTTTGCTGAGAGAAAAAAAAGACAGGGGGCGTTAAATACCTCAAATCACAAAGATGGTTTAACCTGCTCTTTTGAGAAACGATTTAGCTAATATTTAAATACTCTTTGATGCAGCTTAACCGCATTGCTTGTATCACACAGCCATTTTTAAGCCCGTTTAAATCTTAAACTTCAGTTTAAACATTTACATAAAAATAAGTTTATGTCGTTATGGAGAGATTGTTTACTACAAACTACGCTTGCGACTTGTTCATGCCAAAGGATCTCGAATGAACATTTTTACGCATACCCCCCCCGCCGCTCTGGAGGAATGGTTTGATCCAGACTGCTGCAACGCTTCGGGAGTGCGCAGATACATATTGAATACATTACAGCAGAGAGGCTTCATCTATAGTGCTGGAAGGTTTCGCTACAATGCAGACGGATGTGTGTTCTTCTTAACGCCTTAACAAGTTGGAGCACAGTATCGGTATCTCGAAATGCATGCTGCGACAAACAGTTTCTTCATTTGTTTCCTCTCCATACTCGTTCGTATGTACCAATGTAGGTAGGACCGGGGGCTGTAGACAGCCGCGGAGCACCTTTACGTGGAGTAATCTGAAAGTTAATTGGATCGTGGGCCTTGCGACGACACTTTGTGTTTTGCAGACTCGACTCCCACATTCTTTTACAGTGCGCGAGGAAGCGAGAGGACCGATTTAGCGATACACTGCCGACAATGAACGTGGAATTACCTCCAGTTGCAACATGGCTGCTGCTTAGATGTTTATTGGAAAAGTTCAGCCCTGAACATTAAGAAAGTTTTTAAAATAATCCACGTCGCAAGAAAAGAACTTTCCTGGCGTAATTCAGCTCTGGATTGGACTGGACTGGACTGGACAGGACTACACAGGGAATCGGAGCGAGTGTAGCTCGCCGTCATTCAGTTTGGTCCCAGCAGACCAACACCGAGGGCTTTCCGTGAACACTCTCGCTTTTAACAGCATCTTCATCTCGGTCAAAGACTTGTGATCTTACAGTAGAAAATGCATTTCTCCATCCCCGAGACGGAGGTTCGCTCCGATGAAAATGGATCGACTTATGTGGTAAGTGTGGTGGAGGTCAAATAAGCGATGCGCCTAGCTTTTACATTCGGAGACGCTGCCTGTAGAATAGCGGTGCTTTGCATCGCTGTTGTGAATGAATCTTTCGCTGATTGACGGAATTTGAGGGAACATGTCCGTTCATCCAGATCGTCATATGAGTCACAGTCTCGTTCACAACAAGAAGAGAAAGATGCGGAAGAATTCTGAATATATTAAAATGACAGATGGACGTCATTTCTTAGTTCATTTGGGCTATTGGCTGTCTTTTAAAATCCTTCACAGTTGACAAAATGGAGGTAAATTATAGATGTACTTCGTTTCCATTTGAGGGTCAAATGCTTATAATACTTAAAAACA